CTTAAGACATTTTTTGGTAATTTCTGGCCGATACAGTTAATAAAACAATTTTAATGGAAATTGAATAGGAACTAAGACTCATTCACCATATCTAATAACATAGAAAATAATGGATTTAAATAAATAATTGCAAAATTTAAAAATATAAGAGCTAAACAAGTGACAAATTAACAGATGAACTATTTAAATATGGAGAACAGAAACTGTCCGACCAATTGCAGAAACTATTAGGAATGGGTTTGTGAAAAGGAATAACGGCCAAACAAATCGATGGAAGCACTTATACGCCCTGTACCAAAACTACAACTATAACATTGCTGAATAAAACCACCTACATAAAGAACATATTGGTAAAATAAGTAGAGGATAAAATGCGTGAACATCAATGTGACTTCAGACAAGAAAGAAGTAGAGTAGAGCAAATTTTTACTCCATGAGAAATACGGGCTGGAAGCTTTGCATATGGTAAACCAACGGTCGTTCTATTTGTGGATTATCAAAAAGCCTTTGACAAAATAAAAAGAGTTATATAAGATAAGAAACACGATACGCTTAACACTAAAAAAGACAGAGAACACGTTAAATTTAAATAATAGAACTACCGAAATGTGTAGCTGGTTTACAGAGAATATTAAGAAATGAAAACCTTTCTAGAGAAATAATGATAAGACTAAACAAAACAGTGGTAAGTCTAATAATTATACGTGAACAAAAAAATTGAGCAAGCAAGACTGAAGGTGTTGGAGAGGAAAATATTGAGAAAAATGTTAGGAGGAAAATGAACAGAATAAAGATGGGTCAGAAGGACAAACTGGGAAATAAAAAGCTTATATAAAGACGCAAGCATAGTAGGTGTGATAAAGGCTCAAAGATAAAGGTGGTTACATATTGAAATATAGTGTCACGAACAATTGGAGGTAAGAAGATGAGAGGACTGAAAAGAAGATGCAAAATGGAGGTGAAGAAAGACATATAACAAATGAAAATTGTCAGGCGTAAAAAAACGGCAAAGGATAGGAAGAAAGATGGAGAGGGATAGTCAACCAAGCCATTGATCTACTAGGTCCACAGAGCTAGATTATATGTATACTTAAACAAATAAAGACCTGTGACGGAATTCAAAAATAATTTTTAGTTTGTAATATCTCAGTGGCGTACCATTTTCTTAAAAAAAAATGAGATTATTACCCGTACGCGCGCCAATGATGAACATAAATAAAATTCTTAATTGCGTGTCAAAAAATGCGCAATAACTACCTCTTAAAACCCACCAAATTTTATTTGCACATCTCGACCGGTTTCAGAGCAATAAATTAAATCATCAGTTTTTAAGAAAAACTTTGACACCCCGTATCTCGGAAAACGAATCATTTGCGGACATACGTTTATAAGCAAACTGCCATTATTTTCTCATGTAGAATCACCCCCTGAAATTTGTCGCACTTATTTACCAACACCCTGTATATATTTTCCAGTGGTGTGCCATAATTTTTTAATAAAATGGACCTATCACACCTCATGCCACTAAGCCACTAATATGAGTTGTGTTTTCAAAGGCATATGCCAATAAAAGAAGGTATTCTTAAATTTGAATAAGAAAAACGCTCAATTTCTTACATGTAGTGTTAGAATATATTCTGTATAAATTGAACCAAGAAATAAATATAATGTCTTTTACTTAAATAAAATCAAGATACATGAATCAAGAAATGTTGACACAAAAAAATTGCTTAATTCGAAATTGTGATATGTTAACACATATGCAGATAAATGTGTTCTTAATTCAAAAAATGTTTTTCTGTATGAGGACGCAATTATAAAATTCGAATATTTAGCAACATTTCTACAAAACAAAGCACTTATCGCTTAAAAGCAATTGCTTAAATAAACCTAACGGAATTAAAGAAGAGTATCTTTCTTTCTTTAATAATTTGGGTCCTATACTTCCCAATATTTGTTTTTAATAATATAAAAAAAGTTGGGGGTAAAACAGTGACAATCTCTCTTTCAAACTACCCCTTTCTGCCACATGTAGAATTTGAATTAGTAATACGTAAATTAAAAATATGATCAAGATTTCTTTAATGACTGTATCTCGTTCATATCCTTTGTAACGGAATTTTATGCTTATTTCAAATTTACAATATTCCACTTAAACTAAGGAAGTCTATTCTATCAGCTATTCTGATATATGACCCTACGGAATTTTAAGTTGGGAATATTTCCCGTGAAGAAAACATATCTAACTACTTCTAACCTAAACTGGAACTTATTTTTTGCACTTTGCACTGACAAATTTACAAAATATTCTATGGTGTTATATTATTTACGCCACCACTGAGATTTTCGATGGTTCTTTTTAATTAGTAGGGTCAGAACTGAGCCGCGGGACATAAACATAAGCATTATTTAATAAAAAGCAACAAATTAAATTGTCTATAATACACCACCATAAACACCAACGGATAGGAATTAATTACGCAACATCCGCACTATAAAAAAGACAACAGTATACTAACGTGACGTCAACGTGAAAAACATTTTGAGGCAGCAGCTCACGCATGTCTTGGTTGACCCGCTTGGCACTCAGATATTCTGATCAGTTAATAATTTTTTTACGTATTTGATAAATTTTGATAGGAATTAATTTTATACAGGGTGTCCCAGAATTATACAGGGGATGTTAAAATAACATGACAAGTTCCTATAAAATTTTTCCCTAGAGGGCCTTCTACGGAGATACAGGTCCCTAAAGGATGCCCCTGAAAATCGATTTTTTGTAATAACTTTTAAAATACTTTCTGTAATAAAATTATTTTTTAATATGAAGGACAGCAGATAAGACTCCTTAAAAATTGATCCATGAAAACAATTTGTCTTATTTGGTTTGCCAGGGACGGACTAGTTGTAGTACAATAATGCTCATTTTTTTCTACCCTTTACGATAAAGCCACAAAAATTATATTTTTGATAGCTTGAACCTTTTTAACTAAAAAAAAAGGTACTCTTGGTTGATATCCATAAAATTAACCGTTTTCGTGAAAAAAGTATTTTTGTTTAATATGATTTTTATTACATAATTTTGTATGTCGGTTCAATTTGAGCTCCTTCTAATGGTATGCATTCTCTAGGTTTACGAATTACAGATTATTGGATCGAGGAGGCCAAGCCACTGGTCCTCTTTCTATTCAACAATTTTCGAAATTCCTGTTTAATTGGTTTTGAACTGCCAGACTAAATTGGGGTGGTGCTCCATCATGCATGAACCACATACCATGTCGTATTGCCAAGGGTAGGTCGTCTAAAAGTTTTGGCAAGTTGTCTTGGAGAAATTCCAAATAAAGTTACCTATTTAGCCTTCTAGGCAATACAAATGGTCCAATGAAATGTTGCCCGATGATTCTAGCCCATAGGTTAATGGCTTCAAACTGGTGCTGATGATGCGTCACAATAGAAGCATGTGGATTTCCTTCTACCCATAAATGCATATTATGGGAGTTGATGATTCTATTTTTACAAAATCCGGCTTCGTCCGTAAAGAGAATTGTACCGATGAAAGCATTGTTACAGTAGCACTGTCTGAAAGCCAGTTTGAAAATTACATCCTTCGCGGAAAGTCTACAGGAAGAAGTGCATGGACTTTCTGTATGCGATAGGATGTAATTGTTGCTCTTTAAGGATTCTAAGAACCGTAGATTTTGAGCAATTAAACTGGACAGCCAATTTCCGGATACTTTTTGAAGTGTTTGCTTCTACGGCATTTGGGATATCTTCTTCAGCGACCTCACCGCGATTGATTTGATTTCCACAATTGTGTCTAGCTTTGGCTAACGTTCATAAAATTATTTACAGCATTTTAATTCTACATATTACCTACGCTAATGCAAGGAACAAACAAATTGTAATTTTTACCAGTTTCTCTTAAACGCCGATCCAATCTTTTGAAAGTTTTCCTGTCAGGAATTCTTCGATTTGGAAATCATTCCTCATAAAGCCTTCTGGCTTTAGCAAGTCCATACAATAAATGAATGTCGGCATATTCAGCAAACGTAAATTCCATTACGGCAAATAAAATAAATCCGAGGAATAAAAAAAATAAGGAAAATATGACAAGTTTCGACACACTCTATCGTTAGCTAATAGGCTCAGATAGGTACTGTAATTCTTATTTAAATCAGTAAATGTCAAAAAAACAACTATAGCACTAAAAAACAAAGGGAAAAACAAGTCTAAATAAGTGGCATTTTTTAGATAGGCACAGAAAGAATGCAAATTTTATCGGTTTATTTCTCTTTACGGATGTAATAAAAATCATATTAAACAAAAACAGTTTTTTTTCTCTAAAACAGTTCATTTTATCGATATCAACCAAGTGCACCATTTTTTAGCTTAAGGTTCAAACTATCTAAAAATATTATTTTTGTGTCGTTATCGTACAGGGTGTAAAAAAAATGACATCAGTGTGCTATAGCTGGTCCGTCCCTGGCAAAACAAATAAGCCAAATTGTTTTCGTGGGTCAATTTTGAAAGAGACTTATCTGTTGTCCATCGTATTAAAAAATAGTAAAATTACACAAAGTATTTTAAAGGTTATTAAAAAAAAATCGATTTTCAGGGGCTTCCTTTAGGGACCTGTATCTCCGGGGGGGTGGGGGGGGGGGCTTAGGGAAAATATTTATAGGAACTTGTCATGTCACTTTAACGTCCCCTATTTAAATCCGAGAGATTGCCCACACGTTCTGGGACACCCTGTATACATTGTACATTTTCTTTTCGGTAGGTTTATTTAGGTACTTATTTAATTCTGTATCAGTAGCAGAAAAAAAAAAGATAATCGTTAAACAAATATGCAGTACTCAGTAGTGCTAATGCCATTACCACAGTCTAGATTAATATATTTTTAAATTGTGCCATTATTTTAAATAATATCAACTTTCTTTAAAATTTACAGTAAGAATTAAAGAAAGTTACTATAAAATGTCAAGAGGTCGTTCACTTACCTCTGTTGTACAGCAAGTGTCATTGCCATTGTCGTCCGTTGCTAATATTTCATGTTTTGCTACAATGGTCACAGTCATATTTTACGTTTCTGAAATCACATAAAATACTGAATTAGTTTAGATAAATACGATTAAATTGAATATAATACATTATTAAATTAAATATTACCAGATGTCCTTCTCAGTTCAATAATAGCCCGGTGTTTTTGTAACCAGATGTAACACTGTTACCTCCGTTAATGTTATTCAAGAGTGAAAAGATGATCAAATTGGAAAGTTTTACACAATTTCTCAAATATCAATTTGTTTTATATGTTTATTTTTTTATTTAAACTTCTGAATCTTAACGGTACCTACTATTTATAACATAAATTTTCAACAGATTTGTTCTTATTTTTCTTCAATTAAAAAAAATTCAAAAATGAATAAAATATAAAAATGCATTTTTAGACAATTTCAATATCGAAGTGTATACTACTCTGGAGTAGTTAGTGGTAGTATCTCCTAGTATCTCTACCACTGATTGACATAACTGTTTAGAGGCGTGGGTAAAGAGCTATAATCCCTCTCGGTTCTGCCCCACCCGAGGTCATTTATCCAACTAAGAATATTGGCGAATTGTTTACAAATTTGATAAATTTTGTCTTTATTTTGTTACGATTTGGCTAAGTTTCTTTAATCTACATCAAATTAATATACTTAGAGCTACTTGCATAACCGCAATATTAACTATATCTCAACAATTAAGTCGTTTAAGACATATTAATCTATTTTTTTTTGTTAAAATGATCCAAGAAGTCAATACACATTTTATTATCTACAAATATCAAAACTCACTTTAATTTTTTATTTACAGTTAGTAAAGAACTACAGATCTACTGTAGTGAATTGCATATATAATATATAGGATGTTTTTTAATTTCCATATAATTTTGGATGTTCAAAATGCAGAATACCCTTTGATTTATAGATACATTAAATGATAAGTGCTATTAACTTCTAGTAACATCAATTTACTAGCTTTGTTTGATTTTCTGTTTATTGTTACAATTACGAAAATAAATTTTTGGCACTTTCTTTTGATTCGGATTTAGAGAAATTCCTAAAAGACACGACATAAACTCGGGAGCATGTTCATATAACTTTTCCCTCAGGGAACTTCATTAATAAGTTGCGGTTAGCTGAAATTTAAAATTAAAAATTGATGGCAACATGACGTTGTTTTTAGGGAAAATAACAGGAGAAGACCTTAAATAACTATATCGAAACGGTCTCATTTACAGATGAAGCAGGTTTTACATGGATGATGTTATCAATTCCCACGACTTGCACTTATGCAATGAGGAAAATCCACACAGAAGCATTCGGAGAAAACATCTATACAGGAAATAATTTTCTTGTATTGGTCCTCGTTCTTATGCAAACAAAAGAAAATACAAGTATAATAGAGTTCATCCTTCTTATAGTTTTGTATATGTATAAGTGACAAAAAGGTGGTCTATCACCGGTGGTCATGGAACTAGCTAGTTCCATGACCACCGAGTTCTCTAGATTTAAATGCAGTAGATTATTCTTTCTGGTAGTACCTTAAAAGTTTTGTAAATTTAACCCAGTACAAAGAACATTGTAACAGTATTACGAATAATGTATGTCGGACGGACAAAGATACAACATCCGTAAGTTTTGAAAATGTATAGAAGTTTAAGTTAACTTTTTGCCCTTTTACCATGTGTCTGGTATAGTGGTAATAAATAAAAATCAGTAGTGTAAATAATTGACCTTATTATTTATCTCACACTTTCCATTCAAAACTTACTATGCATGAAATTAAGTGAAAATGGTATGGTTATTTACCTACTTGTGGCATAGTTTTAGTTTTTTTTTTTATTTTTTGGATATTTTGCCACCAGTGAAAAATTTAAAAATTAATGCGCCCAAGGGAAGTTTAGAAGACGAAAACAGATACTTTTCGAGATATTAACAACTTTTTAAAGAGCGCGATATACAATAATGTGTTTTCGTATTTTGTATTTGTTTGCCTTTTTAAGTGTGAAATTTTTTGGTTAGACAAAACTATTTCATAAAAATAACCCTTGACTGATTCCTTTGGCACAAGGGTTTATTTCACTAATTTTTAATTTTCTTTCACAGGTAGCAACATATCCACAAAGAAATAAAGAAAAAAAACATAACTTTGAAAAAGGTATTAAAAGTCACTGTTACGTTTTCACAGCTATCTTTAGCGAAATTTTTAATTTAATTAAAAATACTGTAAGCTACAAATTAATAAGACATAAATCAGGGGTGTTGAATTAAGCTACCGTGTTATAATTTCCAAATAAAATCTTATACAATTATTGTTAAAAAATGGTGGAGACCTAAAACACTTAAATTGATTGAATTTGAAAATTTAATTCAAGATTTACAAGTAGAAGGGCAAAAAGTTATATGAAATACTGACATTATTTTGATTCCATATACAGGGTGATTCATTAACAATGGGAAAATCGAAAGCTGAAAATACTACACGTGAAATGGTAGCCATTAGCGCAAACATGCCTTATCCGAAAGTTGATAGTTTCGGAAATACAGGGTGTTGAAAGTTAAAATTTTAAATCGTTTTTTGCGATTATTCTGAAAATATGTAGGTTAGGAACTTGAAAATTTGTGAATCTATATTTTTCTAAGCGACGAATAAGATGCATGTTGCAATTTCAGCGTTGCTCATAAACTTACTTTTTACCCTGTATTTCTAACAAGAAACCTGATTCAAAACCTTAAAGAGCAATCATTTTTCCATTAATTATGTACTCTTGTTTCATTTCGGTATCTCGATCCGTTTTCGAGAAAAATAGATTTAACGAACAATATATTTTGATAATATGAGAAATAAAAGCGAAACAAACTAAGTGTTTCTTCATGTTATTACAACAATTAATAATAAAACAAATGAAATACCACTTAATAATGTTTTAAAATAATTGTTCGAAGAATCCACCGTTGTCACTGATACATTTTACACAACGTTTTCTGAGAAATTTTCGAGTTTAAGTCCGAACTTCTGGGTGGCGAAGCAAAAATGCTTCCACGGCTTGAAGAAGTTCTACTTTATTTAAGAGGAGACATGTTCATGTACGACGGAGGTCCACCGTATTTTTCTCGGCTAGTGCGTGCATATTTAGATACATTTTTTCCAAATCGCTGGATTGGCCATGTAAGCATTTTTACTTGGCCACCCAGAAGTCCGGACTTCAATCCTCTTGATTTTTCTTTGTGATCTCGAATGAAAGATATAGTTTACAATTTATTGGTTCGCGTGAAGAGTTGTGGCAAAGAATACAAATCGCTGCCAACGAAGTCAGACGCAATCCCAATATGTTGTTTCAAACTCGAAGATCTCTCAGAAAACGTTGTGTAAAGTGTATCAGTGTCAACGGTGGATTTTTCCAACCATTGATTTAAATAATTATTACGTATTTCATTTGTTTTATTATTAATTGTTGTAATAACATGAAGAAACACTTTGTTTCGCTTTTAATTTTTTGTATTTATCAAAACATAGTGTTCGTTAAATCGATTTTTCTCGAAAACGGATCGAGACACCGTAATGAAACAAGAATACACAATTAATGGAAAAATGATTGCTCTTTCAGGTTTTGAATCAAGTTTCATGTTAGACATACAGGGTAAAAACTTATTAACTAAATTTTCTGTAAAATTGATCGTAAGTGGCGCCCTCTATGAGCAACGTTGAAATTGCACCACGTATCTCATTCATCGCTTAAAAAAATATAGTTTTACAAATTTTCAAGTTCCTAACTTACATATTTTCAGAATAATCGCAAAAAAACGATTTAAAATTTTAACTTTCAACTTTCGGATAAGGCATGTTTGCGCCAATTCACCATTTTACGTGTAGTATCTTCAGCTTCCGATTTTCCCATTATTAATGAATCATCCTGTATATGCTTCCGAGTTTAAGCCGTACTACTCTGTATGTACATACAAACGAGTAATTTTAGTAAAAAATATCTGTAATGTGCAATTATGTAATGACGAACAAATATATTTAAATAAAATGAGAATAATGAATCACCCTGTAAATATAAGTTATTGGAAAAAGTTACCCATTAAAGCTGTTACATAGATATGTACTATTACATATTGCCTCGCATTTGCTCTCCAGTGAGTATACTCTATGTCTATGTAACTAAATTATATAGCAATTTTTCCTTTCTTGCGACAATGAAATTAATAAGACCATGTCCATGGAGAAAAGAAAGTAAGGTTTGTACTACTATTATATTTCTTGCATTATAATGTTATATATAAAATTAAAGAGAAATTTACCCTGGACATGTAACAACTAACTATTAGACAGAAAAGATAGGTAAAGATTTTCTACTTTTTTCTTTCACAGTATAATTTTAAGAAAATCATCTCATTAATTTTTGATACGTATTAAAAAATAAACATCATTGATAAAGATGCAGCTTTGTTTTTCAATTCAGCTTTGTTGTCATTTACTTCAGTTTTGTTGTCATTTACGGGATGTCGCACTACAAACTAACGCAAATAAGATGGAAAACATATACAAGGTGATTCACATTATGTGTAAAAAAATTTCTACAACTCCATAATTATGAAAAATGATAAAATTCGAGATATTATTCGGTTACAAGTATGAAACAGTAAATCAACAGCCACACACAAAAAAAAAATTCGGGACCAGACATGAGTACATAGATTTTGTGTATTTTTTGATGCTGAATCCGAATCCGCAGTCCAAAAACCGATTTACCAGGTCATTTTTAGTAAAACGCTAAAACATCCTCTAAAATAAGATGAAATAGTGGGGATAAGGTAAAACTTTATATCTATCAGTCTATCAACCTACATTTATATATTTGGTAGTATAAAATACATGCATATGGTTTTTTACATTGTTTTTCACTAAAAACAGTCGTGATTTGATCTTAGAGGTGGAATTTACCCCCTCGTAGGGGTGGGTGTCGATTTGATTTGTATATAGATAATTCTTTCTATAATGCTCAAAATATTACTTTAAAATGTTTTCTCAAAGTATTTACATATTGTTGCTTTTCATTATAAAGCTTTATCCTCGGCTTTACCTTATCCTCACTATTTCACCTTATTTTAGAGGATGCTTTAGCGTTTTACTAAAAATGACCTTGTAAATAGGCTCTAGGGCTGCGGATTCAGATTCAGAATAAAAAAATATACAAAATCTATGTACCCATTAACGTCTGTGGTACATAACTTTTTTTGTGTCTGCGTTATTAGTGTTATGTGCACTTTAATAGTCCCATTACATGACCAAAATCGAAAATAATAAATTTATTTATTTTTTTAACTTCAACACCCTGTAATTTATAAATTGTTAATACTTCGACATGGTACATGGACTTACAACGCATTTTTGTTGCTCTACCTTCTCCTATTTTCTTGTACACATCACTTTGAATTAGCCTGCATATACTTTTTTCAATATTTTCTTTTCTGTTGTCAAATAGTTTATTTGAAATACATTCTTAAAATAATAATTCAAGAACAAGCTTTTGCTTGTACTCGATATAAAATTCGTATTTCGTTTTCCTTTCTAAAATTGTTTTTATGTTCTCTCATAAACAGAGATAATTTTCAGAAGTTAATTTTATTTAAAATATCACGTAACGCGAACATAAATCTTAAAATTTCACTTAATTTCCTTGAACTACTCGTACGTTGTGTGCAGGTACTTGACTCAAGACCACGACTAAAGTGAAACTAGTCGCACTGTATATTTTCTTATATTAAGCAAATCATAAGTTTCATAGCAGGAAAGATATTGTTTAAACGAATATTGATTACTGAACAAGAAATCAAAGGTGGAACCCCTGATGCAGCAGAAATATCAAGTGCTTTTTGAATACCCTTCTAGTTACCTACTGATATTTACCTATGTCACAAAATTGTTTTATATACAATTTTGTGCTTTAAATGTTAAAATAGCTGCAAACATGGAAATGAAAAACACATAGGTACCTATTTAATATATTCCGATCATTAAAATAATGTAAATTATAAGAGACAACTATTACGTTAAAATTTGGTCAGCATTGTTATGGAAATGTCGAGTCTTTATTGGTGCCTAGGAAATGTCGGTCTTTGCATCCAAAACATGCGAGCACTTTGCAGTTTTTCAGTTTTTGCATCTGAGACGAGACTTTTGCTTCAAAATACATTTGAATTAGTTGATTTTCCTTCATAATTTTAGCGCAAATATGTTAACTTTCTCATTATTATTTTTTTCTATTATGAAAAATATAAAGCTATATTTGCTTGGCGAATCCTAATACCAACTTTAAAAGAGATACCGCTTTTATTCTCTTGATGGAGCCTTCAATAAAGGTTAGTTAAAAATATCTTTTAATTACTCATTTATGATAAAGATTTGAGATAAGTAAATCAGGTGATTTATGATTAAAGAAAACGAGAAAATTCAATGCCCCGTATCTTAAAATTTTAGGATATATATATTTTTTCTTAAAACAATGTCAGAAATCATCCGCTTTAACATTTTAGTTTGCACTAATTGTAAGTGCGAAGATAATTATTTAATTAATCAATTAAAAGTAACTAAAATATGTGCTACTTCGATTTATAAAATTTTAAAAATCCTGTGTGTAGGCACCTATTAAAGTTGTCTTCAAACATTTGGAAACATACATTTTCTCATGGCTGGAGCTTTTAAACGAATTGCAGGTATGAACTATTTGTACAATTAACATTCGGTAGTAACATTACCTGCTAAAGTAACATCCAAATAGGTATACACGTGAATTAAACAAATTCTGCTGCTCTTTGACGAGTTGATGAAACACATTCACGCGAAGAACCCCGTTCTTTTACAGGTGCTGCACAACTAACTGCCAAACCAAATGCTGTTGGACGCGGGCTCCGCTATTACAACACCGTGAATTGATCTTACGACCTCAATAGCTAGTTAAATTTTCTGTACTGTGATTATTATATTATGTGGTAGTCTTTCTCCTTTAGATGTATATTATTTTACTTATGAAAATACTGAAATCAGTACGTGACATTTAGTAGTTGGACTAGTTGGAAAACATTGAAATATATTGTCATATTGTACCCAGAACAATTTTTTAAGGTAATTAAACAAAATGCTGATAAAAATGATAAATATATGATTATCTAAGTATTTAGAAATGTAGGTACCTAAGTATTGTTTTTCTCTATGCCTTTCATTGTTTTCTGTCTTAGACAGTAGCTGGAGAAAATTATAAATCATATTTTGAAATAAAGCGTAGAACTCATACACCATTTTAATGACAATTTTCATGATGAGAAATTTCGAAAGAAATAAAAAATTAAATTAGGGATTTTGAAAAGAATTGCCCATATATTTCCGTAGTTTTTCGTTATGAAATGAAAGGTACAAACATCAATTTTTTTCATTTTCCTCAATATTTTCATTTTTCTCAATATTTTCATTTTTCTTATGAAAACTTTATAGTTACAGCATTATGAGGTTTGAAAAATAGGATGTTAGCATAAAAGTGAAATTGAAATACCTAGTTATAATTACAACGAAAATTTAATTTTGTCAAAAATTACGTATGAAATTTGTTTACCATGAAACTTCTGTTCTTCATGTGAGCATAAAAATAGCTTGCCTATCATTATCACTGGAGACCAATTTGCTATGGTACTACAATAATCATTACTTCCAAATATCTTGCATACAATATCAGTGTCATAGCTATAAGGTCATGAACGCCCAGTACAAGATTTGAATTTTGCACCCCCAAAACTTATTTTGTAGGAAGAGAACGAATACAATAACTTTAAAGGCGAGTGCGCCCCCTTAACGTTTGCGCCCCTGGTAGCCGCCCCCGTGGCCAGCGCCTAGCTACGACGCTGCAATACAATGTAGGTTGAAAATAATACTTTCAATGTTTATATTCGTCATTGACATAAATCATTTGCCTCAATATAAAGGCATAGAGCAAATTTCAAATCTTTGCCAGCTTCACCAAAAATCAGAAAGGTGTCTGACTAACCTTCTCGAATAATGATCTTTTCAATAACTGCAGTAAATCTGCCCAAAAATAATTAAAATATGCCAGTAATAAACGTTGAAAATATCTTGTTTTCCAGAGCAACGATGACAAAATCAGTACAGACTTGATCTGTTGCAATTTCTCTATGTATATATTATATTATCTTATATTTTCTGAAAGCGGAGGGATATCAAGAAACTATTTTAACAAAAATTATTGAGGAAATAGGACTTTCACATGATGTAAAAATTGGAAAAAATAATTTTGATAACACATGGAATTTTAAGTGAAAGACTTTTATCATCATGCATACCATAAAGATCCCTGTTTGCAAATATTATTTTTTGGAAATTCTTGTACTGACGTCATGAGATATGTTTTTCCCATAAATTTCCCATTTGCCATCATTTTATCTCTTTTGTAAATTTTTGTTTAAATGCTCTGTTTTGGAGAAAAACGACATGTATTGATGTGTTACAAATGTATTAGCGGCCGATGAATGTCAGGAAAAAATAGTGAGGTCTGAAAACGTCCATCTGTCCATCTTGTCAACATAATGACATTAGTTACTATTAATTCTTTGATTCGGCAAATCGAGAAGTAGTAAGTGGTTATTAAGTTTTTAATTTCAGACAATATGGCTAGTAGGGTGACAGTAGTTAATTTGACTTTTGCAGATATGGTAGATATGCATTTAATAACCACTTACTACTTCTCGATTTGCCTAATCAAAGAATTAATAGTAACTAATGTCATTATGTTGACAAGATGGACATTTGTTTTCACAGCTCACTATTTTTTCCTGACATTCATCGGCCGCTAAGACATTTGTAACACATCAATACATGTCGTTTTTCTCCAAAACGGAGCATTTAATCAAAAATTTACAAAAGAGATACAATGATCAGAAGGAAATTTTATGTTTGATATTTCAAGAAAAAGCTGCATAGGCGTACTAAGAAATAATTGGAGGGGCTAAAGGGTACTGCTTCCCTCAGTTACCTCCATTCGCCCTTCGATTTTTTTCACCAAAATTACATGATAAGTATACCGGAATAAGTTAAAAGTACCTACGTGCAAAATTTCAAATGTGTATCTTACAAAACTATGGGATTATTAACAAAAATAGTTTTTTAAAATGTAACTTTAACACCCTGTATATTGAAACAGGGACACAAATAAAAAATGGCATAAGAAAAGTCGCATTATTTTTGTCCAAAGAATATGTGGTTAATGGTACGGCCTTCTATTTTGGGAAACCCTGTCATTTACGTTTATAACCTCTACGTACATTCTCTGCCAGGCACGCCATTATCGCATAAATTTCTGCTTGGAATACGGTAGGGAACTCCCCCAGACTATAGGACTCCATCTGGGTCCGAGTCCATATATTCCTGCACCCGTCCCTCTGGCCATTTTGGAGCCATCTGTAAACCATACTAGGCTCCACCTTTCCAGGGTATTAAACCTTTCCTCCCATTTTGCTTTGATCCTCTTTTCGAGTCTCAAATGGCTTGTGGAAGTGAAACCTTGGAACCATCCTGTCAGATACCATTCCAAAAGAGGTTACCTACTATGTAGATGTGTCCACAATTTCATAATCAAAGATAATTTTTTTTTAAATCAATGTTGCGTGATTCTAGGTCACGTAGGGTAAATCGCTGCTGCTTTTGCTGTTCATGTTGGAACAGCTACAAGCCATAAGCCCGGGAGCCAGCGACCTTTTTTGATGACCAAAATAGCAATAAAAGTTGAAAAATTTTCCTATGCATCATTTGGTATCACTAGTAAGTGAATCGACCCCTAGCTCGCGCACTTCCACGGGGGGGTGTAGTTGCTGCAGCATTCCACACACGTAAAATAATCATTAAAAAAAAACTTATACTGCAAAAGCTGACTTTGTCGACATGTTGATTATGTTAACAAACGAAAAAACGCAATCAGCCGACTTTAGAGTGGGGGGTTATACCTCAGCTTTTCACCTAAAGAAGTCAAAAATATGCGCTATACTCGACGGCCAAAATTATAGTGATTCATCGCTAGCTCTTGGACTAGTAAGGGGGATGAAGCGTGCCGGGAACGAAAATCCATTGGCGTGTCTGCGTAAAAGGCAACAAGATATAGAAAATATTGAAAATACATAATAAAACATAATATCTAATATTTTTTACGGTTTGCTATAACCGGCACTTTGATCAATTTTAATTATTACAGCATTTTAAAACGTCCCAGTTGTGTTTTTTTAATTTATAAATTTATTATAGCCATGGAATTATACCCCTCGTCTACGCTTATGCTATGACGTTTCTCAGGTCGGGCAAATCAAGTCCGTTTACACCCACTAAAAAAGCATTTCCCTATTCCCTACCAAGTGCAAAAGACAGAGATAAAATATAGATTGACGTTCAGTGTAACTCAGTCTATACACGATTATAGATTCTACCGATGTGCATGGCGAGCGGCACAAAGATAAATAATATTGAACCGTATAGAAATCATTTTATATTTTATACGCATTATGGTAATAGTGTTTTTATATTATGTATTAGTCACTCTTTATAATTTCGGCCGCCGAGTATAGGTAAACTGATACCGCAAAAGCTGAAATTTGGTAAAGTAATAGTCATCTTAATCAGTGAGACGAAAAAAATTTTCCGCTGAAGTTTTTACGGTGTATAAGTGCTCAGCTGTCAAGTTGAAGCACATCGCGCATTTTTTTCATTTAACTTACCAAATTTCAGCTTTTGTGGTGTGACATGTATTATTTTTTCATTTTTTAAGTTTTACTAGTAATTATATAAAAATATACAACTTTTTTCGAATATTTATTTTCAATAAACGTTATGTATGAAAAAATCTATCTATTATCTATTTCAACTTTCGTTTCATTACCCTCAAACTCATGGTCGCTGGAGTCAATGTAGATTCCTGCCAGTTCTTCCCCATTATATGTAAATATACACGGTGTTTGTAAATAAGTGCGAAATATTTTAAGGGGTGGTTGCCGATGTTATTCTGTGAAAAAAAACCATATAAATGTAGGTCGAAATATCCTTCGTTTTCAAGATAGTGTTTTTTATTTCAAAGAGTTTTAGACATATTGACTTCAAATTTGATGGTTGTATTTTATTTAGAAATATTGACAGCAACCTACTAGATAATGTATCAATAGAAATTCAAGATACACAACTTACAATAAAATATTGTTTTATTTTTTTTCTCAAAACGGTACATCCTATGATAAAAATTGAAGACAAATTTCATTCAGAATTGATGGCGGCTTTCTAAAAAATATCAAAATGGGAAAATATCAGTGGCGTGTCATTTTTGTTTATTAAAAAAGGTTGTGGCATTCTTACACGAACATCACTGGTGCAAGTAGAAATATGTAGATCACCCTAAAAAAAACACATTTATCCCTCCAAAGCGTTTTACAAATTTCGAGTCAATATCTTTAAAAGTTTGAAAGAATAAAAATAAATAAAAAAATTAAATTTAAACACTGTATCTCGGAAAGGAAGCATATTTAGACCTACATTTATATGAAATTTTTTCACGAAATAACTTCGGCAACCATCCCCTAAAATATTTTGCACTTATTTACAAACACCCTGTATAATAATGATAATTATTAAAATTATATTAATAAAACTTTAACTATAAAAAATAATTACACATGGTATGAATTTTTTAAAATATTTTTAATTGTATTTTAATGTAAATGAAGTAATAAAAAATTTACACCCAAAAAATGCTCAGCTTTATATTTAGTGAAGGAAAAGTGCTCAGCTTATAGTCAAAGACATCACGCGCTCGCGCGCATAATGATGTGCTGCACCTTCAACTCGTCAGCTGAGCAATTATAAACCATAAAAACTTCAGCGGACAATTTTTTTCGTATAACTTATTAAGATGACCATTACTTTACCAAATTTCAGCTTTAGCAGTATCAGTTTACCAAGTGCATATTTTTTACTTATTTTTATTTATTTATTTATTTATTTATTTATTTATACTGCATACATACAGACAAAGGGACAGTCCAATTACATGTATACAGTTGAGAAATGTTAGCTAATATAAAAAACAAGTTAAAAATAATGTATAAACAACCAGACACATGCAAAATACAATGTAAAAAGAGAACAAAGAAAACAAAAAAATGTCAGTTAAAAATGTACATGTCAATGTAAAATGTGTGTCATGTCAATGTAAAATGTACATAAAACACCCAATCGTATACGTATCATAAGTATGAGAGTAGCTTAGTCAGACTAATATTAAAAATGTCAATATCGTATATTCTTAACAAATTATTCACTGTACACAGACACTGTTCTAGGGCTGAATTAATATTAAATATTTTAAAAAGTCTATATCCAGTTCGCATTCTCATTCTATTTAGGTGGAAAGCTGAGACAACCCCCCACTCTAGTCAGCTGATTGCGTTTTTTCTTTGGTTTATAACATAATTAATTTGTCGACAGTCTCAGCTTTTGCGGTATTAGTTTTTTTATTTTATTATTTTACGTGTGTGGAAGGCCGCTGCAGCTACACCCCCCGGATCTGCGCGAGGTCAATTCACTTACTAGTGATACCAAATGAGGCGTAGGAAAAATTTTCAGCTTTTGCCAAATGACTAACTCAAAACGGTCGTCGACTCCCGGGCTAATAGGTAATAGACTTCGACTCCATCCAAAGTATACTGTCAAATCTACGCAATAAACAAACTGTCTATTGTTTTGCAAAGAAGACCAAATTAAGTCATGATTAGTTCGATTTTGTTCGAGATATTTGAAATAAGCACATTTTTACATTTCTGGTACTTTTAAACGAAAGGAGGTATCACAAAAGTTTACTAATGAAAGTTTATCAGAGAAACTCTGCTTTCATGAAATGTAATAGGTATGTTTCTGGGAAAATGTATTTCACGTCATAACAAACATTTCCAGATTCATTCAAGCCTAAATGATCTTATTTGAAAACCCCAAGCGAAATTTTTATTCGCTGTTTTTATTAGTCCTGGTGAATCGAGATTGAGACATCCTGTACATACACGTTTGTGGACAATCAAAAATTAACTATACCAAATCTGAATGAAATCACATCAACTGTAACACAAAACATTATTTTTTCACTTTATTTTGGAAAAAAAACAAGCGTATTCATATACATATTTATAAGAACTTCTTTATGATGTACAACCATTAAAGATTGGACGAGGATTTAGTTACACCCTGTACATTAGCGATTATTTTTCAGATAGATTAACAAAGCAGATAACGATATCACTGATACAATCTTCTAGGTCTGTCACTATCGTCAAGCACTAATAAAGAAAAAACACTTTAGATGTATTTTATTATTTAATGTCCTGTTTAATGACGAGAAAAAATATATAACAAATATCCTAAGTTTCCTTATCAAGTAATAATAGATTTGATATTTTACACTGAATAATTTAAATAAGAGAAAAATATGTACGATTCAATAAAAAAAGAGAATATAAGGAGGAGACAGACAACCCCGCTGAGGAGGGTCCCGGAAATCAGATTTGAAAAAAGGAGAGGAAGCAATTTCTTATTTACTACATCGGGTATTTTACACATTATATTTATGTATAAAAAGTTTTACATGTTAATAGTACAGTCATGTCTGCAAAAGAAAAACAGATGTTCACAAATGTCTAAAATAAATTATTATATCCTAACTATTTAAATTTCATAAGCGAATTAATAAAATAAAATATTATCAACAAGATATTTTGATAACGGGTGGACATTCAAAATTACCGGCAAACAAAACCTTCACACAAGCTTGTAAAAAAATAAAAAAAGTGCGACAGTTTTGCTTGCTCGTATCGGTCGATAAAGTGCGAGAATAAAATTTCAGGTAACTTGACTGCTTGCATAGGGTCTGACAGAAATCCTTCCAATTGCGTCTACGCGGGCTTTCAATTACTCACCGAGATCTAAAACTGATGTAATTTTATGACGGAGATTGGGAAACACCTTAAAAATTCAAAAATTATTTATTATATTACACCTAGTTGAACCACAAGACCTACATATTAATTTATCTAACAATAATTATATTAGTATGAGTGTGGCAGCCACATGACGGGCTGAAAATCCGGGACCCGACACTGGACGGAGCGGAGAGAAAATGAACGTGGGAATTTTACGTTATGTAAAAAGGCGACTGACATCTTCTCCACTCCAAAGCAAGGAAGTCGGGCGCAATTGGGAAAAAAACGCAACCCAACACTAACCCTTACAACCACAATATATTAAAATATAATTGAAAAATTCAGAGCTACTAAAATACAGTTATACAAATTGTTTGAAACGTTTATAAAACCACCTAGCAATATTGTGGTAGAAGGTGAGGAGGGAACCAAGTCCAAAGCAATGTACAGTTGATGAATGAAATATAGGCTGGCTAATCCCCTCCAATGTGTTGAATTAAATAACTTGTTTTTTCATCTAATATGTGAAGTGTGGGATTTGGGGGCCGGGCCATCACATAGCATATTTGCGAGTCCACTCGCGCGCTAACTCGTTGTACTTTTCCCGATCAGTTTTATATATCCTAGCAATTTCTGGAACTAATGGATCATCTGGATTTGGATCACACAGAAGTGAGCAGATTGATAACAGTACTGAAACAAAAATAAACAAATTAAAAAAAAATCTCCTGCAAAACCCAGGGACTAAGAACTTTACTGAACAATCTGAAGAACATACGAGGAACGACATTTTCAGAACATGGTCAAAAGTTGACTGTTCCATTAAGGCGTAAAGCCACTATAGAATTTTGAAAAATTAAATTTTTTAATAATGGTTTAAACAATGCTTTATTTTGTGAAAAATAAACTTTTTTTCGAGGTGGAGCGCAACCACTAACAATGCAATAGTTAGCTATTAATCTATTATATAGGGTGTTTTCAAAGAAGTAGCACAAATGGTACCAGTGAATCTACAGCTAAAAATAACACGTTTTGCATAAAAATGACCTTAGTAAAAATATTCACCCCTTAGAGGATAAAGCCTCCCAAAGTTTCCAAAAAGATATGGAATAGCGGCGGTAATTTGAAAACCAAAAAACGTATAACAGTTGCACACCCTGCACAAAATGAATGGAAATTTGGGTCCCACTGGATTTGGCTGGAATTGTGATATGTTATAGTTCTCGATATTCTGATGAAAAGTTGCCATGGGCCCAAAGTGATCCTATGGATAGTTTCAGAGATATAGAGGGGGGAAGTGTGTGATTTTGATTGTAGGACTGAGTAAACTTCACGAAGTTTCAAGTTGATGGATTCAAAAACTGAGTCATATAATGAATTGTGACCAGTTGGTACAATGCTTTTGGGATCGCTGAACCTGAATTCTTGGATAGTTTAGCTATTTAAGGTCATCTGGAAGTCAGGTAAAGATCATTTCAAGGTCAAATTAAAGAAAAGACGTATAGAATTTTGACCAGTGAGTGTACAGGTTTTCGGGCTCGCAGAATCTGAATCTGGATATATAGTAACCCTAAAGGTCACCTTCAAGTCAATTTAAGGTTTTTTGGGGAACTGAATCCAAGAAAGCACTCGCAAAGGTCACAAAAGGTCTATTAGCAAGACAGCTACCCTCGCAGCTGCGTATTAAAATATTTCTTAGTAGCAATTGTGCAAGTTGGAATGCGAATGATAACGAATTTAATTTTTTTGTTAATAAACGATTAGTTTTAAAGCAAAGAAGACAGGTAAAAGTTTTAGAATAAACCAGGCTATCTGATAGATATTTTTGAATATTCAATTTTTGGCAAATAAAAAAGTTGTAGCAAAAAATAACTTAGGGGATGCTTACCCTCCAAGGGGACGACATTTTCGAAAATTTGTTGACAAGTTGCACATGCATTGGAAGACAATTTGTGTAAAATTTAACTATTATACCTTTTTTGGTTTTCAAATTACAGCCGTTATTCCATATTTTTGTGGAAACTTTGAGAGGCTTTATCTCCTAAGGGGTAAACATTTTACTATGGTCATTTTTATGCAAAACATGTTCCACTTTTTTACTGGCCAGAAACATACAACTTGAAACAGATATTTTGAGTCCAAATTATTTGAGAAAATTAACAATACCTGAAAACACATACAATAAAGCCCGTTTGTTCCTGACACTATATCTTGTATCGATTTTTCCTTGAACATTCCTGATAATCACTTTTTTCAACCTTTAGAGTGGCGTTACTCCTTAAGAACAAACCTGATAACAATAAAAGAGCAATGTTCTAACTATACGCGAACAAAATGGGTTTCAAGGTTCTTTCCAATTGCACTTTTTTAACCAAAAAGGATTCAGTTGTCATTATGTTATACTGATAATAGTAGAAGGCCTCCTAATATAAAATACGTATGTTTTGTGTATATTAATATATGAGTATTACGGTTTATAAATCGTGCGTGCACACACATGGTCTTGTGCTCATGTGTGCCCGTATGTATCGCGAACGTGTAGATGTCTACGTTCATAAGCACAGCAGTACGTAGATGAGTGCGTGCGCATAGGATCCTTAGATACTAATGCCTACTTTTAATGTGTTTATATTTCTCAGCTGAATGTTGAAGGGCCCTTGCCCATAAATTAAAAATGCTTATAAACATACAGAGGGAAACAATATCTTTTAATTATTAAAGTGTTTTAGTTCTACCCATAATCCCAACAGTGCGTAATCAGGATTTTCTACAGGATAATACAAAAAGCAGTAAGAATAAATAAATACTTGTATATTTTCATGAATTAGGAGATTGTTTTCTTTCACAACACTGTAATGCAATATACTAGAACAAGGATTTTAATTATTAAGCTACATATGTCTTTGTACAACTCAGTCTTGTCACACTCTTGCTTATATTTCTTATTAATAAAAATATACCCATCAACCCCATAGCTACTACTGTATCTGTGAAAGAACAGTTTTTTAAGGCTAAAATATACAAAATATTCTAGAGGTTTTTGTGCCATCCTGTAAAAAATTAGAAATAAAAAAATATTCAATTAATTAGCATTAGTTTCATTTGTAAAACTTATGGAAAAAATAATCATACAATGATACCTACTGAAATTTTTTCACGATTAATTTTATCAGCAAAATAAAAAATTAAATTCATTGTTTTTTAGCAAAATTCATTGATATTATTTTCTAAAAAGAGGCAGAAGCATTAAGCATATGAAATGTACAACAAATACATCCAATCACGTGAGATTTAAACTGGAAGCAGAAGCCCTCCAGAAGTTTTTTACCAATAGGGATCATCAGATGAGATCAATGCGTTAATTATTTATGTTGAATAATATGATATGGTATACCTATGTATACTGTATATGGTTTTTCGCTAATGATAGTAAAGATATCATTATTACAAAATAGATTTCTGTTGTCATATTTGTGCTATAAGAAGCCCTGTTCCTTTAATCATAAAGACATATTTTAGATACAGCTGTGTTTTTCTTTATGTGAATTCATGTATCTACAATAGCAAAACCTATATTTCAATCAGTGTAGTTCTTGGTTAAAGAATGCTGCTTCATTTTTTTTAACCTCAAGAAGAATGCTTGGAAAACCTTTTTATTCTCAACATTATTCTTGGCAAAAACATTCTTCTTTTACGTTTCCAATGTGCGATGTGCAATGTGTTTTTTAGTGCGAACAGATCATTCATTCTTAGCCTTGTTTTTTAGAGGAACAGTCTAAAGATTCTTATATAAGAATGTTCATATTTAGTTCATTCGTGATGATGAATAAGAAAGAATAGCTGTTCTTAGTCCCTGGCAAAAACAAACCATGAGGATAATTGTTTAATATGTTACAAATAGTACTGTTGCCTACAAATTAAGAAACATTGTCACGGACCTGTAAAAATTCCATTGCACTCGGCTACATCTTTTAAGTACTTAATACATAATCAAAATAGGTCAAAGTTTTTGTTGTAGAGTTTTGTTAAACTTTTGTCGGGATCATAGGTACCAAATTCCTGGGTGCTTTAGTAGTCAAGGCAATTTGCTGTGAGTACCCAGAGCAAATCTACCGTCCAAAGAGTCTAAGTAATTCAGACATTCCAGAAAATGTACTTTACCTCAATTTTGCATAATTAATTATTCCTAGTAATATGACATAGTCGTTAAATTGCAATCTACAAATCTTTTGTCGAAAAAATATAGGTGTAATTGTTCTAAATTGTTTGATGATACGGCTGTTCTTTTACCGTTTTAACTGTTTAATGTTTTTGTAATTTGATAATGGTTTTGAGTCAACATGAAGAACACTATAATAATGTGAGCCACCAATATGTCTTAATTAGTTTCAACCAGACATTTTGAAATATCAAAATTTAAAAACATGTATTTGTATGTATTGTTTCTACAAAATACCATTAATAATTATTATTGCTAACTGGTGAAAATGGTTTATTTATGCTAAATTGAACCAAATATTCTACTTAATGTTTGTTCTTTTGCCCATAGAAGCATAAACATAAAATATATAAATTTTATGAGTAACTTTTTTTTGTTCACTGTATGACGTCTGAACATTTAACACCTATATCTGGTTTAAAGTTCCTGGCTTATGATGATAACTTTAGTAAAAATTATATAATATTAGAAACATTTATATTTTATTAAGTTGTATTAGATTTAAAAAATGTACAAAAATTACTGCATTTCTACACCAGTGGTTCTAATTTTGTTATAGTTTACTAGAAACTGTTCAATTTATAAAGTGAAATATATACATTATGCTGAATTCCAAGAAATAAAAAATATTCAAATGACATCTTACTGACACTTATAATTCCAAACTTTTTTCAAATACTCTTTAATAATTTTGTACTGCATCAATATTTACTGTGCCTAATTCTGTTTTTCAATAATCTTGCATTATTCCCAAAATCAGTGCTGTCATATACATATCGTTTGAAATATTTCCATAAATAAAAATGAGGGTAAATATTGTCAATATTTCATTAAATTGATACAGAGACCTTGAACAAAAAGATTGGAACTGTGTATAAATAAGTGTATTATTTATTATTAGATATAAAAATATTAATATAAAAGACTTAAAATTTATTAATGTTTTTAATATAACATTTTTTTTATTAAATTAATACTAAAAATAAAGAAATTACTCTTCAGCTACTTCACATTTTCATAATTTCGTTGAAGATAATGTAGGTACAAAAAATGTTCATATTTCATAATGAAATTATTTCAATAAAAAAGTTGACTTTTCTCAAAAAGAATAAAATTGTTTTCCTTTTTTGGACAGCAATTCGAAGTTATACAGTAGGTATAACTTTTTCATACAAAGAACTCTAAAAAGTATTACCATCGCATTCAAAATTTAAAATAAGATGTGATAACATAGATACTACTTTTGTGTGCTTAATATTATTTATATTTGTTATCTGTAATTATGAAACCCATAAAATTGACAATATTATTAGATAGAAAATTGTGTATATAATGCAAACAACTAATTTATAATATTAGCCACAGTCAAAATTCTATACAATGTTAAAGAACAAATATGAAAATATATTATATCAAATCATAGTTGTGCTACAATGTAGCAGTAGTCTATATATATTCTTTATTATTTATTTAA